TTCGTAAATTGTGGAATGATTATCATTGGCAAATGCGACATTATTTTTATATTCATCTTTCTGTATTCTTTTGTAATACACTGATATGTGGCGCTATTGTATGGAAAATTGAAGAATATCAAATACCTTATGTTGATTGTTGGTTTATTAGTGCAACATGTGTATTTACATGTGGATTACAAACAGTTGCTTATGCTGATTTTAGTCAACCATCACAAATTCTTCTTCTAATATTTACAATGATTTCTGGTAAATAGTTCTTGAATCAAAAAAAATAATTAAGATTATTTTTCTTTTTAGGTATCACTGTAAGTACAATTCCAGCTATTTTGATTAAAATTTATCGAGCAAAACGAGATAAAAATAATAATGAAGAAATATCATCATCATCGTCATCAACAAATGATAATAATGAATTAGTAATTCGACAGTTTCTTCGTCGGGAAACATTGGATCCTACGTTAGATGAACAACTTCGATCATTACCTAATTCACAACATCTTCGTGTTACAGCTTATATCATGTTGATTGTCATCATTCTTTCAACTTGTTTTATGATTTATCTTATTTCATTTCTTGCTATGGGTTTTTGGTTAAAATATCAATATGATCCAATAGATTTGTTACAAGCAAATCAAACAATGAATCCATTCTATGCTTCATTAATTCTTACTATTACCAGTTTCAATCAGAATGGACTTTCACCTTGGTAATAAGATATATATTGTATAGAAAATAAAAATAAAATCTTTTCTCCTTTTTTTAGGGATAATGGTATGACTTTATTTGTTACAGATATATTTATGAACATTTTCATTATGCTTGCTGTCATATCTGGAACATCATTATTTCCAGCTATTCTTCGTGGTGTTATTGTTCTACTTAAACATTTTTCACCGTAAATCTTTTCATATTTTTTTTATTATTATTAATGATTATTTTATTTCTAGTTGGAAATACAAAATCTTTTTTGATTATATCTTATTGAACAATCATCGTTTGTCCGCTGTTATTTTTCCATCAGTTCAAACACGTCTTTATGTCTCTGTTACTATTTTAATGCAAATACGTAAATTGATTCTCATATTAATCATTTCTTTTTTTTTTATTGTTCTTCTTTCATTTCAGTTGGAGTAACAGTAGCATTAATATTAGATTTTCATAATGAAAAGTTAGCTATGTATGATGGAGGAGAAAAATTTATGATATTTATGTTTCAAGTAGTCAATACACGTTTTGGAGGTAATTTTAATTTTGAAAAATAAATAAAAAATTATTATTTATTATATTTAAGGTTATGCAACTATCACTATTACTGATCTTTCGGCTGCAACATTACTTATCTTTGTTCTTTTAATGGGTATCAAACCTCAAATGGTATATTTCTAATATAGGCATGTGTTGTATTAAAGAAAATAATCTTTTTTTTTCGTTTTTAGTTATGTACAATCAATGAAACACCATTTGAAATGGAATGGGTTCTTCTTCAAACACAACAACAAATTGAAAATAAAGTATCACATAGTGGTGGGCAGACTAGTGTTGATATATTTTTACCAGTTAATCGAATGAAACATTACCTTTTACGACAAGGTTCATTAACAAAAGCAGAAGCTAAAAATTATTTTGTAAGAAAAAGTCGAGCTGAAGCAAGTATCAATGAATTAACTGAAAGACGTGTTCAACGTCGTATGAGTGCTATGTCTGCTGGTGGATATATATCAATAGAAGGGTTTGATGATAAATTAACAAATAATATTCATATTTCTCTTCTTCGAATGAAATTATTATTAATTATATTTTGTCGACATGTTGTTCTTAGTTTATTTAGTCTTCTTACGTCAACACGAACATGGCTATTTATTGTTGTCTTTCTTATTTGTTGTTTTGAAGCACCTCGTGTCATACCAAGTAATCCACAAATTAC